GAAATGTTGTACAATTGTTTAGTTGCCCCTGTCCTATCAGAAGTTCAACACGACGAGATTGTCATAGTACCCGATGGACCAATGTATAGAGTACCGTTTGCTGCCCTCAGGGATCCCAATACAGGACAATATTTGTCAGACACCAAACGCATTCGTCTTGCTCCATCGATAGCAATATTAAAGGCTCTAAATGAATGTCCAGTGGATCATCACAGGCAAAATGGAGCATTGATTGTAGGAGATCCAAGTGTTGGAGAGGTGATGTTTAGGGGCAAGAAACGAGTGTTTGCACGTTTACCTTCAGCAGAAACGGAAGTCAGATGTATTTCTTATAAATTGGGACAGGCCGCTCTGACTGGAGAACAAGCTACCAAAAACACTGTGTTGCACAAACTGAGAGAAGGATCAGCTTTAATTCACATTGCTGCACACGGGAGCTCTGACAATGGTGAAATAGCGCTAGCACCAAATGTCTCACCAGAAAGACAAGGTATCCCAGAAGAAGATGACTACCTGTTGACGATGARRGAAGTSCAACAAATCGGAATCAAAGCTCAACTTGTTGTGCTAAGCTGTTGCTACAGTGGTCGTGGAGAGATTAGGGCTGAAGGCATGATTGGACTTAGTCGTGCTTTTCTTGCGTCCGGAGCTCGTTCTGTCGTAGCGTCATTGTGGGCAATCGACGATAGTGTAACATATAGTTTCATGGTCAGTTTTTACAGTTATCTGACTCGAGGTGAAAGTGCRAGTGTAAGTCTTCATAAAGCCATGCATGATATTAGAAAAGAAGGCCACAGGGATCCCAAGTACTGGGCTCCTTTTTTCTTGATCGGTGATGATGTCATCCTGAATTTGAGGTAAAAAGGGTCTTACTTTTAATGACTCTTCCATGCCATCTAATGCTGACAGTAAACTTTTAAATATGCATTTCACTTGATTTTTATAGTATTATTTCAATAAGTCTTTCATAGTTAGATTATTTTGTTTGACAAGTTTCAAGGCACTTTTACACTTGCGATTTTTTCAGTGCGATTGTCGCGCGACAATCGCCACTTTGCCTCGCGCACCTCAAATCGTAAGTGTAAACAGCGCTGCTATTGTCGCGGCGATCGGAAATCGCGACGAAATGCAGTTAAATTTTCAAGCATGTTCGAAACCCAGGCGATTTTGTCGCGCTACAATCGCGCTGCAAAAATGGCAAGTGTAAACGTGCCTTTAGGCGCAAGCAAGAGTGAATGTCGCGCGAAACAAAATTTGACTCGAATAACTGTGACAGTCAAATACACATAAAAGAAAACAAAGCATTTAGAACGTGCTTAGATGTATTAGTGTAATATCTATTTCACAAATTTATTGATTCTAAAATTGGTCCAACAAAGTATTGCTAACTAGAGCGAAAGAATGTATATTAGACAACAGAGAAAAAATGAATTAACATAATTTAGTACATAGTTCACTAATATTGAATGCTTAAAACCCGTGAAATAACATTTGACTATAAAAATGTGCGGAATATAGTCAGAAAGACAAATGAATAATACAATACAATTTGAGCACACTAAGTTGTACTAATCATATCTATTTCACAGACTTCATCTGTTTCATGGTTTTAGTGTTTTGCAGTTTACATCTCACTGTAGGTTAGAGTTAATTGAAACAAATTGTGAAATAGGCGAGGTACTAATACACTTACTACACGCTCTAATTTGCATTGTTTTCTTTTGTGTCTATTTAGTAACTAGAGTGAAGTTATCAAAACCGTGAACAAAAACTTGACTATTAAACTGTGATAGTCAAATAGGCACAACAAGAATGCAATTAGAGCGTATAGTAAGGTGTTTAGTGTAATATTTATTTCACTGGTTTTTCGAATCCTATCACTCTTTAATGATCAAGTTTTTTTGTTTCACGGATTTAATACCTTCATTCTAATAATGAAATAGTGCATGCCGCAAATTACTGGATTATTCTCATGACTTTGTTTTATTTTTCTAATCAACACAGTTTAGCAATGTTTGATTAGTACTTTTTCACGCTTTTACTGTTTGAATTTTGTTATATCTCGAACACGTTTTATATGTTTTTAGATATCTCGATTTAATTGACTAACATAAATGAAATGATTAGGTGCATCACTCTAGTTCATTACGTTACACCACGTATTGACTTTTAGATAGTGGTTCACGGGTTAAGTGCATTGTCACTAATCTACCAAACAAATAGTAATAAGAAAGTGGTGACACAGTCACTAATAGAGTGAAGGCATTAAACCCGTGAAACGAAATTTCAGTAAAAAGCGTGATAGTCAGCAAATAGTTACAAAAGAAAACAATGCAATTAGAGCATTCTGAGGTGTATTAGTGTGAAATCTCTTATTTGGTCATTTCCATTGCATGGTCAAAGCCTCCAGTAATCTGGTAATTGTTTCACGGGTTAAGTGTAACGACTCCAATCGTCAGTATGGTCAACTGTGTTTATTATTGTCATATTGACYGAAGTTTTTATGGTTTCACTGGATTAACTACTGTCTTTAAGTGTAGTCGATATTTCACAATTTCTGCACAAAAAACGCTTTACAGTGATTTTTAGTTGACTGTGAGAGATGCAGATTGTCCTTGATGATCACAACSAACAATAGAACAAAGATGCCTATACACCCTTTTAATAAGTCCCAAGGTATTATGTTCTCCGCACTTGACGTCAAATTTATTCTTTTGAATTCCTTTTGTATTGTAAACATTTCAAAAGAATAAATTTGACGTCAAGTGCGGAGAACTCAGTACCTCGGGACTTATTAAAAGGGTGTATAGAAATGATAATAAAATAGTAAAATCTAGTTTTAAGACCCTATACGTAAAAACGTTAAATATCTAGGGAAACACACTTAGTCGGTCTTTTAAAAGTTGTAAATAMAAATTTAGATAAGGAAAAAAATTCTAGAGAAACGCACTTTTGCGTTTTTCAAAAAGTTGTAAATATAAATTTAGATAAGGAACACTTAAAAAATTGTTAAAGTGAAAAAAGTCACACAGAGACATTTTATAATTCTGTTAATTAGGGATAGGCAAATAGATAATTTTTCCATTTCTGAGAAATGTCATTAGAAAAAAAGATTGCAGACGGAAAAAATGCGGAAAAAATCTCGAAGTTTCTGTTGTATTTTTTAAGATATGCGTTCTCTCGACTCACTTTTTTTGAAAATATACCTAGAATACAGACTCCCTCAGACTTGTAGAAACATCTTTATAGAAGTAAYGGTCAGTAATGGCATTCACTTTTTCCTCAATTACTGTGTGAGATATGTCATTGGGAAAGGCACCTAAGCTGCTAAGGWCCGTTTTGGGCGTGGCTCTTAACCCTACAGGTCACTGTACACGGTCGTGTTCTTTAGCGTCCATTCGCATTTCATGTAGCTTTCTGACTAGCGCAAGCGCTGTGCTCTCTTTCTGGTATGGAGTCCTAGCGTGCTATTTAGAGCGACTTCAACTCACTCTTTGTCATTTGCTACGCGCGCGCGACGATTTACCCTCTCTTCTTTCAAACCAGCACAACAAAGTCAGCAATCATGGCTACCTGATCATAACGTCGGCTTTAACCGTGCCAAWRGCAATAGCAGCGCAAATTGTCAGCGTTGGCTGCGAGGTTAAATAGCGCTTTCTCCACGTAGATRGGCATCCGAAAAACTGCGCTATCTTGGTGCTCTTCTGATCAACAATTGTAATAACATAATAATGGTCTGATAACACTAATGCTGCATTCTGATTGACCGCTCTAATTTATGATAGACCATAATAAAAGAAACAAGATGGCGGATAAAAAGAAAATAAGAGAAATAAGGAGCTGAGCAAGAAAATAAAAGAAATAAGGAGCTKAGCAAGTGATGTGAAGTGGGGTGCGATAAAAAAAWTTGTAAGTTATTTTTTCGATTCTGAATGTATATTTTAAGTTATACATAACGATATTGTACAATAAAGTGGAGTTTTGTCCTCTTGTGCGTTCAAGAGAAAATTATACGCTCAGACAATACCAACACAGGGATCCCGACACTAAAGAACTTTGAAGTACGGAAAACTGCCAAAGCATTTTACTTCAAGTAATTGATACTCTTTGTTATTATGAATACTCATGATCTAATGAAACATTCTATAGCTGCTTAAAAAAATATTTAAAAACATCACCTAAAATGTGAAATATTTTCGTAGTTACATTATGTACAAATATTGAACAAATATTTTTTTTTTCTATACGTAACTCTTTCAGTTGTCATTCACTGCGAATTTTCATATTATCTTTCAGATGATCAAACATTGATTCTTCCATCCATTCATTCATTCCTTTGATTTGTTTATTCATTTGTTGATTTATTAATAAACAATGTATCATATTTTAGCTACCAAGCTCAGATATAGAGGATACTAAATGTTGCGCGCGGAGATACGGATTTTATCTTCGAGTGTTGAAAAGATCTCTCCAAGGGAACATGCAATATTCTGTTTATCACATAATTGTATATGAAAGAAAATTGTGTCGTAAAATACCCTTTTAATTTCTTACTTACACTATATAGAGAGCCTCGAATGTGTTATTTTCACTAGTGAAAATATCAAGTACGAAATGGAGAAATGGTATTTCATAGATAATTATATGATAATTTTTTTATCAAATGATATGTATATGGTTTATTCAAATCTATGTATAAAGTGAAAGCCTGTCGTTATAGCTACATTGATCAAAACATTCATTTCCGGGTGAGCCAGACGTCAGGTACTTCTGCACAGCGGGATTACAAATGACAGAACTCTTCCGGATCATAGTCAACTTTAGCTATTTTGGTTCGATGACGTACTCGCACACGAAGCTCCGGGAAAACAATGAATCATTTTGATTTATTCTATTATTTCACCGAGGCTTCGTCTGCATTTCTTTTGTGCATGGTCACTGAACCAAAATATCTAAAGTCGGCTATTCGAAAGAAACAAATCATTGTTTCTTGGACGAAAAATGCTATAAAATCGACTGACAAAGAACCACTTCATATCATGATGTTTGATTGATTCATTATCGTGCAAGAATCTTGTATCGACTCTGCATCGTATGTGAACGAGGAACAGTATTCAGTGCAATAAGATTTCGTCACGACTGGACTCGGTACAAAGGTAAGACGATATTTTGTATTCATTGAGCTTGATAGCATCCAATTAAAACTTTAAAAGGCATCAGAAAGCGGTATTTATCCTTCAATCATGTCACCAAGTGTTAGTTTATTGCTGTCTAAGTATCGATATGAATAAGAAAAAACTTTATTAGTCGAGTGTAGAATTTGCTCGATTTTATAACGAAAGATCCATAAAAATTGGTAAAAATTCTATTCGATTGATTTATCCTATTCATAATATTTGTGATTTACAAYATTATCTTGAGTCACTTTACTTTTAAAATCAATTAATTTTCTGTTTGAGTTCAAGTGGATACGATGTTTACTTGAGTTCAAGTTGATACTATGTTTGTATACTTGTCAGCAGTTTGAAAACACAAGAAGTCCAATTTGATATACTGAAGACTCTGGATAGTCGACATGAAATGGTCGAGGGCAATGTTTTTCGGTGAGTCAAAACTACAAGATGGTGAGACTAGAAATGCTATAAGACACTTTAAAAGGRCCCTAGAGATTGCACAAAAAAATGGCTCTAAACATGAAGAAGCCGTCACACTTCAACGACTTGGTTATGTTCACCATTCCAYGGAAAGATATCGCTACGCTGTTGATTATTATGAGAAGGGACTGCAAATAGTACAAGATCTAGAGACTGGTGATGACAAGAAACTAGAGTGTGAGATGTGTTATGGCATTGGTGGTGCGTGTGATATATTGGGAGATTATGAAAAGTCTATGCARTATTCAAAACAAGGCTTGGCTGTTGCATTAAGAATMGGTGACTCTAGACTCACTGCAAACTCCTATGAAGGTCTTGGTCGTGCTTACCTATCACTTAATGGCTCTCAAAATAGTATTAAGTGCTATAAAAAAGCTATGGGATTGTACGAAAAACTTAATAATGAAGAMAGTGTAGGGATTTGTTATGCAAACATGTCATTATCATATCAGTTGCAAGGAAAGTACCATGATGCAATTCGTCTGAGAGAGGAGAGTCTCGAGATAAATGATAAAATTGGAAGGAAAGAAAATCAGGCAAATGACTTGCTTAACATGGGAACAATATACTCAAAGCTGAATGATATTGATAAGGCCGTCGAGATGTATCAGAAGAGTCTTACTATTAGTATAGAGGTCAACCACAAACGCCTGCAAGCAAAATGTTATAGTAGCCTGGGAAATGTTTTGATGAGTTATGATAAATATTCAGAATGTATCCCATTATATCAAAAATGCTTAAAAGTTGCTTTAGATATCGATGATAGACAATTACAAGCTCAAGTCAGGTTAGASATTGGTAATTGCTTGCAGAAACTAAACCGAAATGAAGAGGCAGACAGACACTACAACCAGAGTTTAACAATTGCTAAAGAAATAGATTCCAAGAGGACTGAGGCATTTATTTATCACTCTATGGCTGTCATCAARTTAAAATCAAATCAACTTCAACAAGCACTAATTCTATTTAAGGAATGCCTTGGCATTGCTAGCACTATCGAAAATAAAGAACTTGAGGGYGGAGCATGCCAWGSTTTAGGTMAAGTATACTATTTATTGCACAAAGAGAACCAAGGACATCAAGCATGTGATGATACTGATGAYAATATRGCTAAATCAGAAGAATACCTGAGAAAGGCAATAGATAGTTTTGACTTTTTCTTTCAACATCTCCATCARCGAGATCATTTAAAAGTCTCMATTTTTGATAAATTCAATAAGGCTTACAAGCTCCTCACCATCGTGCTGATCGACACTGAGCAACAACAAGARGCTCTGTTAGTATCKGATRRTGGACGAGCWCGTGCTTTAGGAGATCKCTTRKTCTTCAAATACGGTATGATTCAAAAAGAAATGTCAYTACCTAAGCCACTAACCTATCCTGATGTGGAGRCGATCTTCTTTAAAGATGTCTTCTCGATACTGCATTACAGCTTACTAAGCAACAGTTTGGCTGTGTGGGTTTTAGCCAAAGACTCGCTGATGTTCAGAGAAGCTGAAATGGAACAATTTGATTCTGCCWTWGAAACATTGACTGAAGRAAAGAAAGATGTCGATGAAAACTCCATGAATCGTTTCTTTACTGGAACTGTTTCAAGGGCATATGAAATGATGAAAATCCAAGAAAGTGTCACTTGTGAAAACAGATCACTTGATGATTGCGTTACATCSAAAGAGCAASCCGATAAAAAAGGCGCTRAATCAATGTCACGTGACGACGGCGCAAGTACGGAAAACGTTGATCAGTCGTCACATCCACTTGAAACGTTGTATAATTGTTTAGTGGCCCCTGTTCTGACAGACGTGCAACACGACGAGATTGTCATAGTACCCGATGGACCAATGTATAGAGTACCGTATGCTGCCCTCAGGAATCCCAATACAGGACAGTATCTGTCAGACATCAAACGCATTCGCCTTGCGCCATCAATAGCAATATTAAAGGTTCTAAAAGAATGTCCTGTGGATCATCATAACCAAAAAGGAGCATTGATTGTAGGAGATCCCAGTGTTGGAGAAGTCATGTTTAGAGGAAAGAAAAAAATATTGGAACGCCTACCTTCAGCGCACAGGGAAGTCAGTTTTCTTTCTAACAAACTGGGGCAAACAGCGCTGACTGGTGAGCAGGCTACCAAAGCTGTAGTGCTGGAGAAATTACGAGAGGGATCAGCTGTAATTCACATTGCTGCACACGGGAGCTCTGACAACGGTGAAATAGCACTGGCACCAAATGTCTCGCCAGAAAGACAAGGAACCCCAGAAGAAGATGACTATCTGTTGACGATGGGTGAAGTCCAAAACATCGGAATCAAAGCTCAACTTGTTGTGCTAAGCTGTTGCCACAGTGGCTGTGGGAAGATCAGGGCTGAGGGCATGATTGGACTAAGTCGTGCTTTCCTAGCGGCTGGAGCTCGCTCTGTCGTAGCGTCGTTGTGGGCAATCGATGACAGTGTAACTTTTAGTTTTATGGTGAGTTTTTACAGTTGTCTCACTCGAGGTGAAAGTGCAAGTGTAAGTCTTCATAAAGCCATGCATGATATTAGAAAAGAAGGCCACAGGGATCCCATGTACTGGGCTCCTTTCTTTTTGATTGGTGATGACGTCATCCTGAATTTGAAGTAAAAAGTGTCTTACATTTTATGACTCTTTTATGCCATGCAGTGATAGGAAACTGGTTTGACAAGTATTATACTTGATATTTATARCATTAATTCTAGTTCTAGCAACAAGTCTAATCATTATAGTGACTATTCTATTGTTTTCTTTGATGTCGATTTTACCTTCACACTTTTATACTTTAGATTATTTTGTTTGACATGTTTTTTAGAGCAAGCACTAGAGTGAATTTATTAAGGCYGCGAAAAAGAATTTGACTCGGATAACTGTGATAGTCAAATACACATAAAAGAAAACAATGCATTTAAAACGTGCTTAGATGTATTAGTGTAATAATATCTATTTCACAAGTTTATTTATTTTAAAATTGGCCCAACAAAGTATTGCTAAATAGAGCGAAATAATGTATATTAGACAACAGAGAAAAAAGGAATTAACATAATTTAGTACATATAACATTTGACTATAAAAATGTGTGATTATAGTCAAAGAGACAAATGAATAATACAATACAATTTGAGCACACTAAGTTGTAGTAATTATATCTATTTCACAGACTTCATCTGTTTCATGGTTTCAGTGTTTTGCTGTTTAGATCTCACTGTAGGTTAGAGTGATTAAAAAAAAATTGTGAAATAGGCGAGGTTCTAAATCAATACACTTACTACGCTCTAATTTCATTGTTTTCTTTTGTGTCTATTTAGTAACTAGAGTGAAGTTATCAAAACCGTGAACAAAAACTTGACTATTAAACTGTGATAGTCAAATAGACACAAAAAAAAGCAATTAGAGCGTATACATGTAGTAAGCTGTTTAGTGTAATATTTATTTCACTGGTTTTACGAATCCTATCACTCTTTAATAATCAAGTTTTTTTTGTTTCACGGATTTAATACCTTCATTCTAATAATGAAATAGTGCATGCCGCAAATTACTGGATTATTCTCATGACTTTGTTTTATTTTTCTAAACAACACAGTTTAGCAATGTTTTATAACTACTTTTTCACGCTTTTAGTGTTTGAATTCTGTTATATCTCGAACACGTTATATATTTTTTAGATATCTCGATTTAATTGACTAACATAAATGAAATGATTAGGTGCATCACTCTAGTTCAGTACGTTACACCACGTAGTGACTTTTAGATAGTGGTTCACGGGATAAGTGCATTGTCACTAATCTACCAAACAAATAGTAATGAGAAAGTGTTTTTTATCGAACTGTGGCACAATCACTACTAGAGTGAGGGCATTAAACCCGTGAAACGAAATTTCAGTAAAAAGCGTGTGATAGTCAGCAAATAGTTACAAAAGAAAACAATGCAATTAGAGCGTTCTAAGGTGTATTAGTGTGAAATCTCTTATTTGGCCATTTTCATTGCATGGTCAAAGCCTCCAGTAGTCTGGTAATTGTTTCACTGTTTAAATGTAACGACTCTAACCGTCAGTATGGTCAACTGTGTTTATTATTGTCATATTGAGCGATGTTTTTATGGATTCACTGGGTTAGGTCTGTCTTTAAGTGTAGTAGACCTTCGTGATTAATTCTGGACAAAAAGCACTCTACAGTGATTTTCAGTTGACTGTGAGAGACGATGTAGATTGTCCTTGATGATCGCAATGAACAAAAGAGCAAAGATGTATAGAAATAAAAGTACGCAAAGCATTCTGGTAGATGTAGTTCCGTGTTAAAGTAAAAAAGTCACACAGAGACATTTTATAATTCTTTTATTTAGGGATAGGCAAATAGATAATCTTTCCATTTCTCAGAAATGTCATTATGATTATGAAGAAAAATTACAGCCAGAAAAAAAAAAGGAAAAAGTCTCGAAGTTTCTACTCTATTTTTTTAAGATATGCGTTCTCTCGACTCTTTTGTTTTGAAAATATACATAGAATAGACCAGAATACAGATTTCCTCAGACTTGTGGAAACAGATTTATAGAAATAATGGTCAGTAATGGCATTCACATTTTCCTCAATTAATATGTGAGCGCTGTCATTGTAAAAAGCACCTAAGCTGCTAAGGTCCGTTTTGGGCGTGGCTCTTTACCCTACAGGTCACTGTATACGGTCGTGCTCTTTAGCGTCCATTCGCATTGACAACACATGTAGTTTTCTGACTAGCGCAAGCGCTGTGCTCTCATGCTGGTATGGAGTCCGAGCGAGCTATTTAATTAGAAGGCCAGCGACCTAAACACATCTTTGTCATTTCCTACGGGACAAGTGACAAGTGACAAGTGACNGAATGTATTTAGAGAGTACTAAGGTGTATTAAGGTGTAATCTAGTTCACGATTTTTAGACTTCACCCATAGACACTATTAAACACAGACGGTTAGTGTCCCTACAGTCGACTGTGAGAGACGATGTAGATTGTCCTTGATGATCGCAATGAACAAAAGAGCAAAGATGTATAGAAATAAAAGTACGCAGAGCATTCTGGTAGATGTAGTTCCGTGTTAAAGTAAAAAAGTCACACAGAGACATTTTATAATTCTTTTATTCAGGGATAGGCAAATAGATAATCTTTCCATTTCTCAGAAATGTCATTATGAAGAAAAATTACAGCCAGAAAAAAAAAGGAAAAAGTCTCGAAGTTTATGCAATATTTTTTAAGATATGCGTTCTCTCGACTCACTTTTGAAAGTATACATAGAATAGACCAGAATACAGATTTCCTCAGACTTGTGGAAACAGATTTATAGAAGTAATGGTCAGTAATGGCATTCACATTTTCCTCAATTAATATGTGAGCGMTGTCATTGTAAAAAGCACCTAAGCTGCTAAGGTCCGTTTTGGGCGTGGCTCTTTACCCTACAGGTCACTGTACACGGTCGTGCTCTTAAGCGTCCATTCGCATTGACAACACCGATGTAGTTTTCTTACTAGCGCAAGCGCTGTGCTATCATGCTGGTATGGAGTCCGAGCGAGCTATTTAATTAGAAGGCCAGCGACCTAAACACATCTTTGTCATTTCCTACGGGACAAGTGACAAGTGACGATTTACCCTCTCTCCATTCAAACCTGCACAACAAAGCCAGCAGTCATGACTACCTGGTCGTCCGCTTTGACCGTGGCGGTTATTTGAAGTTACGACAAAGGTCGACAAACGACTTCGTTCGAAAAAGTGGAATTTTATCCTGTGCGTAGAACAGAATTTTATGTGCGCAATGAACAACACAGGGATCCCGTCTCTAAAGAGATGTGATGGATGGAAATGCAATTGTTAGTGTTGGCGCAGAGGTTAAAGACCGCTTTCTCCATGTAAGTCCATGTAGGTGGGCGACCCAAAAACTGCGCTGTCTTGCTGCCGTTCTGCTCTACAATTTTACTAACTGTCGTTTTCTTTTGTTATTTTGAATTAATATAGGGGTGCTTTCCATTTAGGTAGAACTGGCCGGCCAGTTCAATCTATTTAGAGGTATATAATGCTTTTTGTCAACATTTTTCAGTTATTTAGAGGTTTTCTGTAGAATAATGGATAGAATTTGAAAATTTGAATTTTCTAACTAAATGGGAATGATATATAATGACATTTTCTCTGGGCCTGGCCAGCCAGTTCTGACAAATGGAAAGCGCACTAGGATTTTGCACTATCTGTTTTTACGGCGAAATAAAGAACTTGGCAAGTTGTGTGAAGTGCGACAAATTTTTTTTGAAATAGTACTTTCCTCTTTCCTATTTTTATTTGAAGTTACGACAAAGGTCGACAAACGACTTCGTTCGAAATAGTGGAATTTTTTCCTCTTGTGCGTACAACAGAATTTTATGTGCGCAGTGAACAACACAGGGATCCCGTCTCTAAACAGATGTGATGGATGGAAAGGCATTTTACATCAAGTAAATGATACTTATAAATGAGAAGACATTTTAAAATTAGAGGATTGTTTGTTATTATGAATT